TCAAGCACAACACCTTACACTTGGCCTTGTTGAACACCATTAAGTTTTCATGGACCCACTTGTCCAGCCTGTCCAGGTCCCTCTGGATGGCTTTCCTTCCCTCCAGTGTATTGACCACACCACTCAGCTTGGTGTTGTCTGCAGATTTGCTGAGAGTGCGCTCAATTCCATCGCCTTATGTCATTGACGAAGATGCTGAAGAACACTGGTCCCAAGACCAGCCCTTGGGGGACAACACTTGTGACTGAGCTCCACCCAGAATGACTGATTACAACCCTGTGGCTGTGACCAGCCAAGTTCTTAATCCATCAAACAGTCCATCTTTCAAATCCATACCTCTCCAATTTAGAGAGAAGGATGTGATGATGGACCATGTCAAGGGCATTGTAGAAGTCCAGGTAGACAGCATCCATCGCCCTTCTCCTATCCACTGATTCTGTCATTCCAACATAGAAGGCCACCAGATTGGTCAGGCAAGATCTGTCCTTAGTGAAATCATGCTGGCTGTCTCAAATTACCTTTTTGTCTCATGTGTGCCTTAATATGGTAACAAGGAGGATCTGCCCCATGATAACCACCAGTGAAGACTGAGGCAAGATTGAGGACCTCAGCTTTTCCCAGGTCTAAGGAAGCCAGTTCTTTGTTCTCATTTATCAGAGGGGGGTACAGTCTCCTTGACCTGTCTCCTCCTCCCTACTTACCTGTAAAACCCATTCTTGTTATTTTTCACATCCTCTGCCAAATTCTACTTGGCTTTCCTAATCCTATCTCTACACATGCAGACAACATCCGTGTATTCTTCCCAAGCTACACAACCCTGCTTCCACTTCCTGTACATTTCTCACTTTTCCTTCAGTTTAAGCTGCATGTCCTTGCACAGCCATGTCGGTGGCCCACCGTCTCTACTTGTTTTCTTCTGCTGGGGGATGGTGAGCTGTTGTGCTTGCAGAAGGGTGTCCTTAAAGAGCTGCCAGTTCTGTTCTATTCCTACACCCTTAAAGACAGTTTCCCAAGGGATCCCATCCAGCAGTTCCTTGAGCAGCCAGAATTTTGCTCTCCTGAAGTTCAGGGTCCTGACTCTGCTTTTTGCCAGGCCTGCATTCCTCAAGATCACACATTCCACCAGGGATGGTTACTACAGCCCAGGCTGCCTCCAATCTTAATCTCTCTAATGCTCTCCTCTGCATTGGTGATTACCAGGTCCAGTAAGGCTTCACCTCAGGTTGGTCTGTCTAATACCTGGACCAGGAAGTTGTCCTCAGCAAACTCTGGGAATCTCTTGGATTGTCTGCCACTGTGCTGCTATCCCAGCTGATATCCAGGTGTTTGATATCCCCCATCAGGACAAGAGCCTGTGAGTGTGACGCTTGCTGCAGTTGAAGCAAGAAGGCCTTGTCAGCATGCTCCTCCTGATCAGGTGGCCTGTAGTAGACCCCAAACGCCAGATGTCCTTTCTTGGACCAATCCCTGATTTTAACTGATAAGCTCTCAACCTTGTCATGGCTGTTACTCAGACACAGCTCTTCACAATCTATCCACTTCCTATTATAGAGTTTTTGTCTTACTACTGTTTTACCTAGGTGTATCCTTGCCTTCCTGTAGCTGAAAGATAATCAGGCAAGGAAATTTGTAAATTTTAACTATTAACAATACTGCAGTTGTTAAAGTAAGTTGTCTTCTACATGTGTGGGGACCCAGCCCCCCATCCCTGGGTATGTTCAGTCCAGGGAAGAGGAGGCTGCCGGGAAACCTCACTGCAGCCTACAGCTTTCTCATGAGAGGTGTGGAGAGGCAGTGTTCTCTGGTGGCCAACAGTAGAAGGGAAAGGCATGGAGCTGCCACAGGGAAAGTTCAGGCTGGATATCAAGAAAAACTTCTTTGCAGACGAAGTTGTTTTATTCCCACTCAGTGAGGGTGAAGAAGATGAATGTTTGAAATTCCTCAAATAGTGATACTGTATGTTTGACAAGGGTTGCCAGAGCAACCTAGTCAGGTAGTGACTCAACGGAACCATACCAGACAAATTACTGAGCTTTCTAACAACTACTTTGAGGCAAAATTAGGTAATTTTCTACAGTAGTAGGCAACAGTTACTGAAGAAAAATGACTAAGAGGAGATTAAGGGAAAGACCAACAGACAGGGAGAAATTTCACCACTTAACATGGACCCAGGATTGTCTTGAGTCTTGATCTGTGAGTGGTGGATCAAAGGTAAATGTGCACATTCAACGTTATATACTGCATTAGTTAGACTGCCTTTGGAGTGGCAACTCACTTGAGTCTAGAGGATTCAGGAATTTTCAACAAGGGTCTCTGGAGTTCATGCACTCCCGCCTGTTAATATTGATGTTTTTCCCTCAGCTGATGGTCTTCAGCCTTAAGCAGAAGTAAGGATAACCCCTCTATCACTGTCTTTGCAGAATGAGGGTCCATAAATCTTTAAAGATTTTGACTCTAGTCATTTAGACCCTATTCTATATTCTCTCTGGGTGAGGATGTAAGTAAGGGTGAATCACCATTGGGCTTGATAAACTCCATGGTAGGCCTTGTAGGTATGAAACCCTGGGAGTCAGCAAACTAGAACAAAGAACAAACTGTGATTAAAGAATAACAGGATGTTCTCTTTATGCTCTTCTGCTGATATGTACAGTTAATGTCATATTTAGGGAAATTGAGAAGCCTATTGTCTTACTGCAGTTGCTTGGTAGAATCTTAAGCCAATGAGCTGTTATTGGTAAATTACTGCTTTCTAATGAAGAATATATAAGAAGTATGTTGAGCACAGTAAAGAGGTTCATTCCTATACCATGATAATTCTGAAAGCTCGAACTGGGTAGCGCGACAATAGTTCTCTAGTCAACAAATTCCTCCTTAATCTCAGACAAGGGTGATCATGCACAAGAACGGGCTCCCCGGGAAAGTGGACCACGCTCACCAGAGTTCAGGAAGCATCTGGACAGTACTCTCAGACATATGGTCTGATTTTTAGGTGTCAAGCCAGGATTTGGACTTCATGATTCTTATAGACTCCTTCCAACTCATGGTGATTCTGCTGAGCTGTTTTAGCCAAAACCATTATCAGTCAGTAATTTAAAACATGAAACGTGTTAATGTTCTGATGATGCAGATCTTTTACTTCATGAGAAAACTTTTATTTTTTTTAAGATTTATAATTTTAGTAAAACACCCCCATACTTCTAATAAAATAAATTTTGTTTAATTAAGTATAAATTAAACATAGTCATCTCACATACAGAAGCAACTTTAGTTGCAGTCAGTTCCCAAGTTCTTCAGCGTTTGTAATCAAACTTTTGGTTATCTTTTGAAATTATTATTTTCTCATTAAGAGTTCATACAAACGTGCTTAAAGTACAGTTCTAATTGTATAATCTCCTAAAAGTCTATATTGCTATATTTACTTTAGTATTTACCCTTAAAGCTTGTTTTTGTAACCCAAACCTTTTAGATGTCATTAGAACTGGAAACACAAATCTGAGGATCTGATTCAAGCCTGAATGCTATAAACATAAGATGCAGTATTAATTCTGCCATTTGTTACTTTATATATCCTCTTTATTTTTCCACTTGAAAAAGCAAAAATAAGAATATTATGGAGACTGATGGTTAGGAGTACTTTTAGTGCTTGACTCTCTTGTATGATACTGCTATGACTTAGCATGACTTACCATACCCAAAGCTATGCTTGGAACATGTACATACTGTTAAATATAGAAAAATTGGTTTGTTTAGACTTGTAAAGAAACTTAATTAAATGTCTTTCTATGGGTGTTTATTTAAGCATTAATAGTCAAAATTCTGAGCATGTTTATACACATGGCTGTTTACAGATGCTAGTAAAACATGTCCAATTAGTTACACATTAGTTCATTGCTCTGACAAGGTTCTTTTGAGTACTGCGCTCAACAAGGTTTTGTTTTAATGCCCGCTTTATCCCTCTGAATGTATTTGATGTTAGATGGGATTTTCATTTAGCAGAGCAGTACATTGGTATACTGAAATAACAGCACAATCATAATATAGCAGTTGCACTGTGATGGTGGCTGCGATGGTACATTTCTCCTGGCAATTAGTCACCTCACTGCCTTTTGTTATCAGCTCTATAAAGCTCTCCCTGTGGCAGGCCAAAAGCTTCTTGACACTGTACTGCCAAGGAAATTAGAGGGCTCCCTGGCATGACCCTACAGACTTGGGTCTGTCAAACCTGTCTGAGATAGCAGATTTTATCAGGGCAGTTTGCAACTTTTGAGCATTCCCAACCACCATTAACCATCTGATATTTCTCATCCCCTGTGCTCTCTTCCACTACCCTTAACCATAGCTGATAAGCAGTTGTCTGGCCCAGAAGACAGGATGAGGTCTGTTTCAGTGTTAGGCTTTATAAGAGCATACTTTTTTCTAATACTAAACTGTGAACTGTGAACTGTGAACTCCTCATCATAGTATTAGACATTTTTATTTATTCAGAAGGAATATGAGTTGAAGCCAGCTTAGGAGACCTGCTCTCTTCATGCCTCCTTTTTTTTATTGCTTTTTTTTCTTATGTTCTTCAGGCTGAATCACATCTATACTACCTCAATGTTGGTCTGATTAATTCAGCAAGACATTCATTTGCATTTTTTTGATTTGCATAAGAACAGACAGTTAAACAGTTAGTTGATTCACTTAACTGTTGTAGCTAGCTGGTCATCTCAACTGTTGTGGCCATTTTTCTAGAACATAGACCAGGTCCCTGTTAAGTGAAGTTCAGCTTTCTCTTTAACTATTGTAGCCATATCACACTTCAAGCTTATTTCTTATTTCTGTAAAGCCTTCTCCCATTGCAGGAGTACATTGATAATTCACAACATGACGTTTTTGGATTGTGTACATTTTAGTGCTCATTAGAGAAATTTTTATGTATAAGTTTTTTTAACATAGATTTTTGTGACGTTGTATACAGTCTTTATTTTTCAGTAATTCCATCATCATTTATATTGTAGGTCATGCAGGAGTCTCTGCCAGCATGATGAAGAAAAGAACTTCCCACAAGTAAGTTGTTAATATTTTTACAAAAATGCAGCTGTCTTAACTGGAAGGATTGTTTTAGAAATATATCTGCATTGTTCCAATCACTTAGCTTCTGTAAAATTTAGGAAATAGCATTCCGTTTTTTGTGTAGAGTCAGACTTCAGTTCTTTCTGGAGGGTGGTAGGAAAGAATAAGCCACTAAGGGAGTTTTAAGCATCATTTTTGAATGTTATTCTGAAATTATGACTACAATTTACAATTTCTCTGGGATTCAGAGAGAAGCAGTTGCAAGCCAGAAACCAGTCGCATGTACTCAGGGACCTCTGTTAATCTGGCAAAATGTTCATCTGTTGCTAACAATTCTAAAGCATACTTACTGGTAGACAAGTATGGAAATAACCTTAGAAATATTTTATCTTCCATTCACTAGAACTGTAGTTTTGAAAAGGATTTTTCACTTCTCTGAAATAAAGGACATCTGAAGTATGTCTGTTAGAAGGCTGCTGTTCATATGTGTAGGATATCTTCTTATGCATTCTCATGACATGCATTATTTCCTGTACAAGATCTTTAATTAGCTACTGAATGTTGCTGAGAAGCTGTGAGAAAACAGTTAATACTCTGGTCATTATTGATCGGTGAGATGTGTCTGACTGCATCTCTGATGGAGAAATCTAGGCTGCTTTAGCCTGAAATTTATTAAAAAGTTACTAGTTCCATTTTAAGTCTAAAGTCCTATTATAGTGGTTTATGACATGCATCAATCCAAAGCAGTTTGCCTACCAAGTGTGTTTTCAGTGACTTAACTTTTTTGAATGAATAATAATTGTTTCCCAGAGACAAAATTTTATGTAAAATTACTCTAATCCCTTCCACCAACTCATCATTATCCATTCTTATCTATCTTCATAGAAGGCAAAGACATAAGTTTATTTGTCTAGAGGCAGGTAGAGTTGGTTAAAACTTAATTTCTCTTGTTCTTTTTCAACCGCTCAGAGAAAGGAGTGTATGATGGGAAGACTATCAGAGGTGGGTTGCCTTTTGTACTTGAGGGTGGCTAGATTTGTCTTTACTGTTGTGTTGATATACAGTTTTTAAATACCTAAATAGGTTGTGCATTTGTTAGCATAAAGGCTATATAATACAATTTTTAGGAATTTAACTATCCAGCTTAGCTTTATGTTAAGTTAGCCTAGTTCAATTGTTTCTTGATCATTTAGTGAAGGTTTTATGTACCAAACGAAGATACATGCTGTTCACTGACTTATCTGAGAATAAGAGAGACTAGCGGAGAATTGTTTACATGTATAATTTACAGTAAGAAGGTGAGATATGGATGATTCTGTAACAATGTGTGCTTATAATACTCTGAGCTGTTATAGTAGACAGTAAGTTAGTAATGCATACTTTGTTGTTGATGTAGTTATCATGACTTTTATATTCCTCATTTAATATAAAACAAGAGGAACCAGCCTTGGTATGTTAAGGCCATAGGGGAGACTTCATACATGCTACAGAATTTTTGTGGCAGAGGGCAGAGCCAAGAGTATGTAAGAGAGCATGAGTCAAGGAAGTGATCATATGAGCAGTGCGGATTACTCTTCTGAAGTCATCACTAAGTGGTAGTCAACTGTTGAGCCTTTTGGAAAGGATTCAGCCATGATTATAGTTCAGCATAAAGGCAGATCTTCCAGATGATGTCAGTGGGTAGTGACCGTTGCTGTGAATATGAATCTGACCTCATTAGCATCAGATCAGTCAGTAGCCTCTGAGATCTCATTCTTTCTCCACTCTTGGTACTTAAGAAAAGAGTACAAGAAATGATGTACGTATCAATCCTTTCTTCTCCCCGCATTTCTTGTAGTTTGCAATTTGAGGATCTCAAGGTGCAGGCTGTACCTGCAGTTTAACTATCAGTGAACCTAGCCTTTTGAATTTCTGATCCCTCTTTAAACCAACTTGTAATCTTGGCTTCTGCAGCATCATAAGATTTTGCAACTGAATAGTGAGTTTTGAGTGAGTGCAGAAAGCTCTTCGTCTAACGTGCCTCATAGTCTGAATATTGTGAATAGTAGTTAATAAGAGTTTCATTGTCATTCTGCTATTGGTGGTAGTCTGTAATAAGATTGTAATAAGTTTGGGGTCCTATTTTTAATACTTCTTCATACTGTGAAAGCCTAAAATTATTTGGACCACTGCTGTTGTGCTGCACTTACACCACTTACACAATTGCAGAGTTTTCTTGCCAGTTCTTTTGCAGCTGTGCTTTTTTTTTTTTTTTTTTTTCCCTCCGAATGTTAGGGGCGTGGCTTTCTTTCATCCTTTGCTGTTTCTTTCCCTAGTTCTAACTCGTTTCTCTGAGAGCTGGAAAAAATTCGTTTTTTCTCAAAACTTAATTAAATGGACAACTACATAGACTATTGGAAATTGCTATGCTCCTTTTATAAATACCAGTTTGTCTTGTAAGCACAGTCCTGAAATAATGGTTCTCAGCTGCCAGTTGTAAGTAGTTATGCAGTACACTGTTTTTCCTGACAGCACATGCAAAATGAAAGTTTGTATGAGGACCATCTAAGCATAATTTGAAGAAGTAGGAAGATTTCTTTCTGCGTGTGTAGTCTCACAAAGCTGGTTTTGATAATGAAGCCTTTTCATAACTAGGTTTTCTCTACCAGCTTAATGCCTTCAAGGTACGGAAGAGGATCTGAAACACACTGAGGATATGTCTGATGTGTTGAGAACTATTTCTAAGACTTGCTGGTTTTTTGTTTGTTTGACTCCATGTGTTGTATGTATCTAGAAAATTGATTGAGAATTAATTAATTTTCTTAATCTGAGAATCTGAGTGAAATTTTAGAAGAGAATTCTAATAGAGGTAAACACTATGGGTCTTCTGGATATAGCATCTCAGAGGTTATGTATATTTTTATTACTTGGTGTATTACAGAAACAGCATACTATTAAGGTATTACTTGGGTTCATTACTTTTTGTCTTGGATGAAAATAAATTGGTAGCTGTTGCTTAAAAAGCTATACATTTGTTCTTACCACACATTCGTATGTAAGAAAATATAAATTTTCCTTGGAAATTTACTAATTTAAAGATCTCATTTTTTACATTAAGAATACTGCAAATGAGAGTGAATGGCAGTTCAGTGGTAGAACAGCCTTCAAAAACAGCTTGATCTGGATGGTGTTTGACTACATTTGTAATGTTTTTTGCCCTCTCCAAGGCATTTTAAAAGATAGTTACTAGTTTGAACTCACTTTTCCAGTATTTTTTCATCATATTATTTAGAATGACTGTGAAGCTTTTCACTTAATTGTTTCACTTTAAACGTTTCAGGGTGCTTTACAGGTAGAAAAATTGATATTGAAAAGTATCTTTAAACTTTTCAAGAATGAGATAACTAACAGCATATACAAACATTAAAAACTGATGCTATTGTAACTTTCAGGTTTTTTTTTAACTTTGTTTTATTCTGTCTTAAATAGAACTAAGATTCATTAGAACTAAGTAAACGTAAAACTCATTTCTGTTGTCTCATCTGAGTCATAATAAAGTATTACTGAAACCATTGTAATTTAAAAAAAAAACACTTGACAAGAGTTTGAAAATGCGTTCTAGTGTCAGCATAAAATTAAAACCAACTGCAAGAAAGAGCCTTGTAGCTGATAGTTTATAATAATTTATACTCTCAGAAGTTAAGACTGCAAACACTGCAGCCTTATTTTGCTGAAAAAGTCAAATCACAGAACGGGAATTTTGTTAAATTCAACTATTGAAGTATCTGCTAAGATCTTTTTCTGAAGGTGGAACAAGCTGATGAAATAGTAAGTTGATGAAATAATCATACGTCTCGTTTTTTATAGAATTTTGATTACATCTTCAGCATTATGCATTCTAGTTTCATATAGTGAATGCCTTATTCTGTAGGATGGAGATTTCACTGTTGTCTTCTTTGTATCTTTATCATACATACACTGCTCTGTGAGCTCTCATCAGCTTTCTCTTCAGTTACTGCTGTCTTTAAGAAAAAAAATTTGTTTTGTTTGCAACCTATTTTCATTCTTTAGATGTTACTTTTAAGAATATTATTTCATGTTTGCCATATAAATGAAGTATATAACAGGTAGTAACTAATCAAAACAATTATTTTTGTTTTAGTTGAGATTCACCATTATTTTGATATGTCACCCCTCTAAATAAACATTTTAAGAATTAAAATGTATATTGTAAAATGCTAAAATATACATAGTACTAATTTCCTATCCCCAGTATACTGTCATAATGTTTGTTTGTTTCTTCTATTTGTATTCAAATGGTCAGTTGGTGATTTTAATAACTTGCATGAAGCATTCAGTGCTTTGTCAGACAGCTTACGTGATTGCTGATCAGAACAACTGCTCAGACCAGAAGGAATTTTCATGCAACTTCCATGAAAACAAGAAGGGCAGAAAAATGTTAGTGCACTAAGAAGTATGCCTTCTATTGCCGTTACCATTACATACAATTTTAATGGTGTTGCAATAAAAAGGAATGCTAGAAGAATATTATTGCTGACATACCTTTAAAAATACTTTGACTCCAAAATAAGTGAAGAAGGAAGCAAAATATCTTTCAGATGAAAACACACGTTATAGGAGAAAAAATTCCTTAGAAGAATTTTAGTCACCTGCCAGTAGTACTTCCACTCATTTCTTCATTCTGGTGTAAGGGACTTATGTTTACTATTCACAAGGGAGAGAAACAAGATAGTAAAGTTCTGTGAGGTAACTGTGCTTTGAGATGTGATCAGGTGAGTTGATAGTCAGCATAGTTCTTAAGCAAACTAGTTTTAGGTATACAATTACAAAGCTCTCATTAAAATGTTGTTGGGAGTAATCCACTACTCTTCAGTATGTTTTTGTTGGTTGTTTTTTCTTTTTTTTTTTTTTTCCAGCATAGCGTAATAAGCCTTATACTTTTATTTCGCTAAGATACACTGAGCTGCAGACAAAGTATACACTTCTTATCCAGAGTAGAATTTTGAATATGTGCTTATTTAGTATTGTGTTTGTATCTGTGTACAGAAAGCACAGAAACAATGTGGGACCAAGCAAACCTATTTCTCAGCCACGAAGAAACATTGTAGGCTGCAGAATACAGCATGGATGGAAAGAAGGGAGTGGACCTGTAACACAGTGGAAGGGCACAGTTCTTGACCAAGTTCCTGTAAATCCCTCTCTTTATCTTATAAAGTATGATGGATTTGATTGTGTATATGGACTAGAGCTGCACAAGGATGAAAGAGTTTCTGCACTTGAAGTCCTTCCAGACAGAGTTGGTAAGTGTTTGTTTTTTTTCCTAAATACACACATATAATTTGACACTTATTTTTGAATGTTTCCTGGCATCCCAGGAATGAAAAGATGAAATCTGATTACTTATATTTTATTAATTATTTTTTGTCATATGGCAGGTAATCTTAAGCATTCTGTTTAAATTTTCTGATTTCACAAAGATCTGACAATACCAGAGAATCCAGTAGGTTTTTTTTTTTGTTTTGTTTTGTCTTGTCTTTAAATATCATATAGTACATTCTGTGGTTAGAGTCTTACCATAGCAAGATTATGAAAAGTTAACTTTGCTTTTTCCACTAAAATTTAAACTCTAGGTGATCTTGGTTATGTTGTGTGTAGTATGTCTGGAAGTGATATTTTTCCTTCTGTACACATTTACATAAGTATTTCTAATAACAGCAGGAAACATTTTCAATGACTTCAACTTCCTTAAACTGCTCTCTGTTTGACTTCTTTTTCTAGCTTTCCTGACCTACTCACTGCCCAATATCTAGCTAAAATACAAATAGTTTTCATTGCTGTGGCCTATGCTGGTATTGCATTACAGTGCATTATGAGTATTTGATCTTGAGCAAGGCATTCAAGGCCAGGCTTGATGTGGTTCTGGGCAGCCTGGTCTAGTAGTTGGCGACCTGCACGTAGCAGGGGAGTTGAAACTAGATGATCATTGTGGTCCTTTTCAACCCAGGCTATTCTGTGATGCTGTTATTCTATGATTCTACGATAAGAGCAATAAAATGATTTATTGTTTTAACAACACTAGTAAAATTCTGCATTTCTTCACTAAGTAAACTCTCTGGAATGGACAGTGTTTGCTTTGTATATGAATTGACTAACTTCAAATAAAATCTGTTCGTGAATCATGGAAAAAAACCTGCTTTTCACAGTGACATATAATTGTGCTGTTGAATGAACTCATGGAATGCTGTCATTGCAGCTTCATCTCGAATTAGTGATGCCCACCTGGCAGACACAATGATTGGCAAAGCTGTGGAACATATGTTTGAGACAGAAGATGGCTCAAAAGATGAATGGAGGGGGATGGTCTTGGCTCGAGCTCCTATTATGAACACATGGTTTTATATTACCTATGAGAAGGATCCTGTCTTGTACATGTACCAACTCTTAGATGATTATAAAGAGGGTGACCTTCGCATTATGCCTGATTCAAGTAAGTAGGCCCATTAACATTTTTTTTTCCTCTGGAAAGTGTCATCTTTTTACATAAGTATTTGCCTGTGGTTTATTAATGGGCATGGGAGTTTGTTTTCATGGACATGACCTATGAATTTTATGAATGCAGTTCTGTTAATCTGAGAAATTCTGCAGGTGGTTTGATTATTCATCTGCTTAAAATCTGCTCACTCACTCTAGATACATTCTGGACGTATTTGTAGACTGGGCTAGAACAGACTATGGATGCAATTCCAGATTTGATTATGGAGGATTTGGGTTGTACGGAGCTTGCATTTGGCAATGACACAGTTGAGATCCCCTGCTTAAGGAGTAAAGTAAATTTGTGGATGAACAGTTGGCTGATGTGTTGGGGTCAAGAAGTTGTAGTAAAGGTTGTAAGGGGTTACATTAGACTGTTGGGGTTCCCAAGGGTCAATTTTAGGGCCAGTTCTGTTCAGTATTTTTATAAGTGATATGAACACAGTCAAAAAAGCATACTAAGTTTGCAGGTGATGTTAAAATAATTCTTATAACTATTGAAAAATTTCATTTTTAATCAGCAGAGGAGTATGCAGTAAGTAGTGGAAAGCTGTTTTCCATAATTATTCTTAACTTTGCTGAAGATATGTTCTTGCTACTACAGAAGAGGTTCTGTCTGGAGTTTTTATTAGAAACTCGACAAACCAGACGCTTTCCACTATTGTTCTTATATGGAAAGAGGTATCGTAGCTCACAGAGGTTGTTTCTGATTTGTGTTTCTGAAGCAGTTTAATTTAGCTGTGGTAGGTCTTCAAAGTGGAAAACCTTTGAGTAGTTTATTGGGGAAAAGAAGCACTTAAGCTATTGAAAATTCATTTTCTTTCACATGTTGCAGAATGAAGAAAAAAAATGGTAGATTAGGGGAATATATTTTTCTTGTTTCTTGAAGTGAAAGTTTTGTGGCTTTTCCTACTAACCTGAAGAATTTTCACAGAATAAATATTGTTCAGGAATATAGAATAGAGTAGAATTTGCGCTAGTGTTAAAGCTAAAACTTACCGGGACGATTCTTTTTATTTTCTCAAGCTTAGGTTGTTACTTGTCTTTGTGTATGTGAGGACACAAAAATGTAACTTCTTTTAAGCTTTTATTTTTGTAAGGGAAAAATACTTTACCGGTTTTGATACTAAAACTGTGTAAATACTGCACAATTCTTTCTAATTAAAAGCTTATGTTTTGTCAACAAGTACTTCACATAAAACTGATTTTGAGAGAATGATAACTATTTGTGATGATGCATTTATGGAGGAACTGTACATTTACAGAGAAACTTTTTGGTGAGGCTTCCAGTTCTCCAGTACACTGCTATTACTGCTTATTGTATTTGTTCTGTAATTTACTTGTCTTTTTGCATCAACGCGTGGCATAGACACTGTCAAAAAATACAAGGCTACTTCTGGGTAGATTTTGCTAGCCAAGCAAATAATATGGTTAGACTTCAGTAATGATACCTATTGCAACGTCAAATCAAAAGACAAAAAAAAAAAAAAAAACAAAGACAAAAAACAAAGAGGTTACTCGTAGTAGACATCTTGGAGGTGTGCTTGTTGCATATACTCAAACATCGCATAATGTGTGTATAGGGGGTAGATGGGGCTGCTGATGAGATCCAGTCTTGTTCCTGCTGGTAGATTAAATTCGGTAATCCACAAACATTTTTGATAACATGTATGTAAACCTTTTTGATTAAAGATTAAACAATCAAAAGTGCTGTTTTTGACTTTGTAAAATTGAACTGTTGTATTATTGGTGGGCTAAAAAAATATGCAACTGTACATTTCAGAAGTACACTGGTTATTAAATGTTTGTGTAAACAAAACAGCATACTATGTATTTAAAAGTTCTGATAGTTTCTTACTGGTTTTGCAAATGAGTTTGATGTTATTTTCCATACTGAAATTCCATCCATGCCTACCAAAGTATGCTGGTTTTGTGTTACAGATGATTCACCTCCTGCAGAACGGGAACCAGGTGAAGTTGTGGACAGCCTGGTAGGCAAACAAGTGGAATATGCCAAAGAAGATGGCTCAAAACGGACTGGCATGGTCATTCATCAAGTTGAAGCCAAACCATCTGTCTATTTCATCAAGTTTGATGATGATTTCCATATTTATGTCTACGATTTGGTGAAGACATCCTAGACATCATTGTGAACTCTGCCAAATTTGTGGAACTATTAAATGTAAAATTTGTAGACACAAAGACTTGACTGCTTTCCAGTTTAATGAAAGCTTAAATGTCCCTGCGAACCCACAATCTCTGCCAGCAAAACTGTTTTGTTCTGAATAATAGGAAAAAAATTATGTGAACATGATACATTTTGTGTAAGAGAACTCCTTTTCTTGGAGGAAGTCAGTATATCTCAACAGGAGGAAGTTAAGAGCAAAAAACAGCTGCAAATTCAGGCTGTGTAAATTTGATCCAGTATTGTAGTCCTTAATCTAAATTTTTTTCATAGATTTTAACTTTCTTCAACTTTGCACTCACCTCATGCAAGTGTAGTTTGATATTTTGATATACCTTCTTTTATAACATTAAATTTAATTTCTTGGCTACTGGCAGTCCTTGTTTTCAGGGTTGGGACAGAATTGATGTTCATTCAAAACTGAATGGTTTGAATGATTTGTTCTGCATTAAGGAGTGCCTAACCCAAGTAACACCAATCTGCTGTGTTTCTACACTTAATTTTAAATATAGCTTCTTAAGAATTTGCAGTACATGGAAATACTTGTGCATTTTTAGTAGTCATATGGCTGTAGAATATCAAGTGTTTGACTTGCGCACCTTTCAATGAAAAGTCTTAAAACTACAAAATATATTTAATCTGTATAACCAGTTAACTAGAAAATGCAAGGTTAATAGCCCGTATTTAAAAGTTGTAGGAACCAGTAACATACAAGCAACAAGGCTGCCTTCAGTCCTAAATGTTGTACTTTTTTATTTGTTCATTACACTCTCTTAGCAAAACACAAGTTCTTGGTGCCACAAGTTTAACAGTATATATATATGCACATATATATATATATATATATATATATATGCGCTACTTCAGAAGACTTTAGACTACGCATTGGCAATCAGTAGTCTCTCATCTAATACCAAAATCTAGCAACCTGAATGTGTGGATTAGATGCCTAACAATGGCCATATTTTTACATGGTAAATACAGTCTCAAGGGGGAGGGTACAGGAATCATTTTTTATGAAGACTTAATTGTAGAGAAGGAAAGGCATTTGTTGCCTTCTGCTCAGTCTGTTGCATTCTGTCATTTGCTTGATTTTGTTGTTGTTGTTGTTTTGCTTTCCTCTTTGATTTTTTTTTGTTTCTAACCATTTTGATTCAAAAAGGCACCTTCCCAATGTAATCTTTTTCTGGCTTTTCTACATTAGGAGTGTCCAGACAAATCTACAGCTTAAATCTGTTGTTGCCTTTTGTGGTGTAGATTGTACTTACTTTGAGATACGCTGTTACTTGAATTTCATTCTGTGAACACTACAGTTCTGCATGCCAGTGGTGTGCTGTCTCATGGAAGCTACAGGCAATCTCAGTGGTTCAGCCGTCTGCATTAGATTGTGGAAGTACCTAGCAGCCCACAGCAGCAAAATCCTTTCACAGTGGTAATCTTGCAGGATAGTTGCAAATGAAGATTAGGGTTGTTGGTGGGGTGTTTGGTTTTTTTGTTTGTTTTGTTTGTTTAGGTTTTTTTGTTTTGTTTTGTTTTTGTTCTTGTAAGTGTGGCAGCTTTTGAAAGCATAGGAATGGCAACAACGACCAGCACAGCAACAAAATTGTCATGTTACACAAAGGCGGAGCTCTGCAAGTTTCAAAGAACTGCTTCATGAAAGTGCAGTTTTGTGAAGACAGCACTGTTGATGGAACATGCACTCTGAAATCCACCCTCATGCCATTAGTGGAAGGATGCAGGAGATATGCTGTTAATCAGAGATCAGAAGTCTGTGTGATCTCAGATTTGGGTATACCGAAGACTCGGTGGTTTAAGCCCCTTTCTGTCCACTTTTTTTGCTTGATTTCATATTTTAGCCTTAAGGCTCGTGCCTCATTATGCTGTTGAATTGTAATAAATACTTACCATATAAATATGATACCTTAATTCTTTGTCCATTGCTATTATATTGCATTATGTCCGGTTATTTCACCATGGGCAACCAAAGGCAGGCTATTGTCCTATAGTGAATAGCTTCTCAATGCAGCCCTTAAGCACTAGGTACCTGAGTAAATGTTCCTTGTGTTTTGAACAAAGTGAGCAGATTTGCAATACAGTGTTTTCATCCTGCAGATCTGTTATATGTGTTTTCTATTGACTCTTAAGAGTCCTGCATGTAAATCTCAAAGCTGAGCCTGGCTCCATGAGCCCAAGTTGATATTTCTGGCACAAGAATGAGTGAGTGTATTTATGACACACAAATAACTTAGTACACTGATTTTGGGGCTATACGTCTGAGGAATGTGTTTGTTTTGAAAGATCTGAGGTTTAGATCTACCAGAAAACTTCTAGCATTAGGCTTGCATTTGTGGGTTGTCTGCAAGCCACTTTAATACACCACATATTCTGCCAATTAGAGTACAATCTATAAACTGTAAATTTTATGGTTGTTTTTAGATGTCCCCATTGGCTATTGTGTGGGTATTTCTTTTCACTTTTTCTTCTTTCCTTTTTCTTTCTTTTTTTTTTTTTTTTCAGTAGCTTAAACCACCTTTTCGAGACTTGAGACTAATTCCACTCCCTGCCCATCTTCTTTGGGCTTTGTTTTAGGCTCATGTTTCAGATCTGCATGCAGTGCTTGCATTACCCTGGTAACTAAATGTTGGTTCCTTGTTCTAGGGGTTCAACATTACTTTCCAAAATTACATAGGGCCTGTGATGGCACAGGCTATGGATCTTTGTATAAAAGTTATTGGCCTTTCACATTTACCTGCTGTAGTACTGTTGTATATTGTGTGTGTGTGCGTGTGTGATGTCAGGCTGCCATGTAGAACTTTTTAAAAGGAAAAAAAGTTAAATGCAGACCATCATTTTTTGCATGCTTAGAGGGTTAGAACGTTCAATGTAACAAACTAAAGTTGCATGTTAAAAATGTTTAGGTTTTGGTTTTGTTCTGTTTTTATTTTGTGTTCAGTTTTTGTGAGTTTGCTTATTGTGCTGTTTTAATGGTTGTTAGTAGGATTAAATGCACCGGTGAGACAAGCATAGTGCCAACAGAAGGTAATTTTTCCAGTTGTATGTGTCATACAGCATTTAAAAGGACCGTGTATTCTGTTAACAAATAAATAAAGTCACACCTAATCAGTAAAACACTGCATTTTTCTTTTGAGTGCCAAACCTTAAACTAAGTTGAAATGAAGTAGGGGAAAACTCCTTTTTATTGAAACAGGTAGATAATTTAATTTTTAAAAAGAATTAAAAATGAAGTCTTTGTCTTCAGAAAATTAATTAGTTACTTATGGGAAAAGAATGACAGTAAAAACAGTTTCTGGTTCCTTGAAAATGCTGTGTTTTTTGTATTTTACATCATTAGTGCAATTTGGATGGTTCTTGGTATGTGTATAGTTCAAAGGTCTTCGTGTTCACATTTTAAAACTAGATAATGACTTCATCTTTAGAGCTTGGTTTCATTATTTTTATTTTATTTTGAACAATGTAGACAGTTCTCTGTTCTCTGCATTTAGAAGTATAAACACTTTAAATCTGTTACTTAATTCTGTAAGTAATTTTTATAATTATGATGTAACTCTATCCTTAAAACATTTAAAATAAACCCTTTATGTGCAACATATGACTGTAAACTCTGTTCTCATGAACAAAACGTAGTGATGTGTTTTCAGATTGTGAAAAAGTAGTTTTTTAAAGTTTTCTAATCAGTACTGAGCAATGTATGCTGATATAATACCTTACAAAATAGGATTACTTGCAAAGCTAAATCTTTATTTGACAAAGGTGAAGCGTAGTGTTTAAATCATATTCCACCAAACACAGAAAAGTTCCCTTTCAGAAGGGGATCACACAGTGCTCTTGTGAAGAGGCATTTATTTCCAGAGCACACAAAGGAGTAATTCAGTGGTGGGAAAATGGAGAAGCATTTGGTAATTGTTAGGTGATAAGTTTGTGTACTTTGACTTACTTTGTTTAATTTTTGTTGTCGTTGGTTTTGTTTTTTAATTACTAAGAAGATCCAAAGCAGATCAGTCAATTAGTAAATAACATCATGATGCTGCAAATTTTCTTAAGCTATAGGAGCTTTTCACACTACTATATGAAGACTTCATTCTTTTATGTTAGTAAAGATAAATTACCAAAGCAGACCATCCATGTTGTATCTTTACTTTATTCATCCCTCTGAGTGGAAAGTATTGAACAGATACCTTGAAATACATGTTTTGTCACCAAATTTAGAAAGCTCATTGAATGTAGGCTGAAGATCTGTGTGTAGCATACTAGCATGCAGTTCAGATGAATACCCAAGCCTCTTCTATTCACTTAGTTTTCTCCTTTTTATTATATGCTGTTGCATGAAAGACTGGTCCATCCAATGTATACCTCTGCCAGTTAGGAGGATCTAAGACTGCTTAGCAGAAGCATCACATTCATGGACTAAGTATGAATCTGCATGAGCTGCCTACATTACATTGTGGTATAAAATATATAAATACTTTGACCATTGCCTGAACTTGTTTTGTGTTGCAGCTGCTGAACCAACCTCAGTTTTGAAGTATGTTTTCATTGAGGAGAATTTAAACAAAATCTTTTTTAAACAAAGACATTTAAATTCTCCATGCTATAGTAATGAAAATTCCCCTTAAATTTTGCATGATTAGGAGGCTACTTACAAGTGTTGGAAATATCCAAATAATTTTGTCAGGACAGTATCTCTGATAAATGCAGATTTTATTCACAATTGCAATGGTGAGCATCCCTCATGCAGGAGTGCCTCTATGGAGGCAGTAGTGCAGCTCTTGTACCTTGTCTCCCTCACGCCTGCCCCCTCCCCCGTTTTCCCATTGGCTGGGTATTCCACTCATACAAAGATTTACAGTTGTTAATTACATTCTGACACTTGCTGATCCATGTGCTGTCCTGTGCCAGTCAGTCACCATCCTGCTTTTTACAAGATGTCTCAGTACTTTCTTATCATGTTGATATGCTGATTCTCTCCAAGGCTTCTTCCATTCTGTGCAGAGGATGCTTCCTATGTTAAACAAAGAGCATCAAGGGGGTGATGCCAGGCCTTCTGGATGCCTCTTCAGGCGCTTCCTTGGGCATGCCATGACTTGTTCTCTGGCTTGATTAATCTCATCAGGATATTCTCGCCTTGTGTATGACAAAATATTACATATATTCATGCTGACTGGACATAAATTGTTGCTAGCTATACAAGTATATTGCTTATTATTTAACTACTCCTCCTTAAATTTTCTATTACTTGGGTCTTGTCTGTCCAGCACCAAATATTAGTAAGGCTCAGAGGTATTTCAGAAGGCTGGACAGGCAGGAGCTGCAGTCTTTGTGCCTATAACCTACTCCATCTACCTAACTTCTGTGATTATAAATTATTTCACCTACATATTGAGCATGCATTCCTGGGGAAGGTTCATCTAAAGGATAAGTGATGAAAACTACCAGAGAGCCCTGAAAAGAACTGCAGAGACTTGTTCTAATTCAGAAACAACATTTGATTCTCACACAAGCAATTCCAATGTGAGTGCCTTGAAAATTGTAATGACAACAGAATCATTAAGGTTGCAGAAGACCTCTAAGATCATCTACTCCAACTATCCGTCTACCACCAACACTGTCCACTAAACAATGTCCCATAGCACCATGCCTACACATTCCTTGAACACCTGGAGGAGCAATGAGTTCAACCACCATTCTGCATAGCTCATTATGGTCCACAGCCACTCTTCTATTGAAGTTTTTTCTTATATCCGACCTTAACCTCTCCTGATGCAACTTGAGCCCTCTGTCAACAGTTTACAGGCTGGCTCGGCCCAGTTCTGTGACTAGTGGGGTGGAGGGATTTCACAAAATCTGCGCCTCCAGGAAAAAAGGGAACAGGGGACCCCAAAATAACTGAAAACAGCGGCAACGATCGGAGAAGAAACAAACTAATTTACTAAATATAGTACCGGAATGCAAGATAACACACTGTAATACAATATAATTAGAATTGAAGCTATAATGAGAGAATGTCTGAAAGGTGGATAGGCCTCACCATAGTGCTGAGGTGAGATGCGCAGTCCAGCTGAGCAGCAGGGAGATGAAAAAGAGCAGACAAAGAAGAGTGCATCAGTTGACCTTGCCAGGAGTTATATCTCCTCTCTGACCGCAAAGCCCCCTGGCAATTTAGTTCTTCGTCTCTTCCAGACTGGTACCCGGAACCGGAGCATTAACAGTTAAACTCCCAGTGTATTACATGATGTTAGGATGTGGAATACCAAAAACCAAAAATCACAAAATCATGACACCCTCTAAATCTGTTGTTAGGTAGGTGGGAGAAAAGGCCAACTTACATCTCACCACAACCTCCTTTCACATAGTTGTAGAGAGCTCCAACTTTCCTGTCTCCCATGGGCATCCTCCAAACTGAACAGTTCCTTCAGATGCTCCTCATGAGACTTGCACTCTAGACCCCTCACCAGCTTTGTTGCTCCTCCCTGGACACACTCCAGGGCCTCAATGTCTTGCTTGTAGTAAGAGGCCCAAAACTGAACACAGAATCCCAGCTGATGCCTCAGCAGAGCTAAGTACAGGGGAATGAATGCCCTGCTCCTGCTGGCAACACTATTTCCGATACAAGCCCAGATGCCACTGGCCTTGGCTGCTTGGGCACACTGCTGGTTCACGCTCAGTTGAACATCGACCAATACCCAATAGACCCAGGCTGGTTTCTTCTACAAAGTCTTCCTGCCGCTCTGTCCCAAGCATGTAGAATTGTCTGGGGTTCTTGCAACAATAGTGCAGGACCAGGCATTTGGTTTTGTTGAACTTTATCCCACTGGCCTCAGCCCAGTGATCCAGCCTGTCCAGATCCTTCTGTAGAGCCTTCCTACCCTCAGACAGATTGAGACTTCCAGCCAACTTGGTGTCACCTGCAAACTTATTGAGTGTGCACTCTATCCTCTCATCCAGATCCTCAATAAACATACTGAACAAAACAGGCCCCAGCACCAACCCCTGGGGAGCACCACTCTGATCCTGGTCCTCCAACTAGTTCTTTACCCAGCAAAGAGTGTACCTGTCCAAGATGTGGGCTGCCAGCTTCTCCAGGAAAATACTCTGGGAGATGGTGTCTAAGTCTTTGCTGAAATCTAGGAAGACTACGTCAACAACCTTTCCCTTATCTACCAGGTAGGTCACTCAATCATAGAAGGAGATCAGGTTGGTCAAACAGAACCTGCCTTTCATGAGCCCATTCTGGCTAGACCTCATACCCCAGCTGTCCCACACATACTGTATGATCTCACTCAAGATGATCTGATCTGTAACCTTCCTGGCACCAAGGTCAGGCTGACAAGCCTGTAGTTTCCCAAACCCTCACAAAACTTCATGTACTTGGAGGTCACATTGGCAAGTCTCCAATCCTCTCACACCTCTTAGATTGACCAGAACCAGAATTGATTGATGTTGGAAGGTGGCTTTGCAATGACCTCTGCAAGCTTCCTCAGCACCCTCAGGTGGATCTGATTTGGCCCCTTCTGGCCGCCTGCTAGGTGGACTAGCAGGACTCTGTCTCAACCTGAATTGTAGCAGGTTTATTCTGTTCCCTATCCAAACTTTCAGGTGAGGGAGTAGAGTATACCCAAGGATGACTTTTACCCCAAGGATATCTGATTTTTAAAGACAGATGTAAAGAAGGCTCTGAAAACATTAGCCTTTTCCTGATTTTTATTCCCTGCCACATCCAGTGAAGGCTGGACATTCTCCATAGCCCTCCACTTACTGCTAATGTATTTGTAAATAAAGTGTTTTGTTCTTTTTTACTACAGTGACCAGGTTGAATTCAAGCTGGTCTTTTGTCTTTTTAATTCTCTCCCTGCACATGCTAACAACTTCTTCGTACTCTCCCCAAGTCGAGTTGCCAATCCCTTCTTTCACAAAATTTAGATTCTTCTTTTCTGGGAGTCTAGTTCCCTTTCCATCCACACAGGTATTCCTCCCCAAAGGCTCATCATCAATATGGAGGTAGGTAGGAATCCTAGCTGGAGCTGCAGATGTAATACTGCTGTACACTTGCAGATGTAATACTGCTGTACACTTGCAGATGTAACACTGCTGTATGCTGGTTCCTTGTCTGT